AAGCCCGTGCACCACGACTACTGAAGGCCGCATGCCTAGAGCCCCTACTCCACAACAAGAGAAGCCACCGCAATGAAAAGCTCGCGTGCAGCAATGAAGAGTAGCCCCCGCTCGTCACAACTAGAGAAAGCCTGCGTGCAGCAACGAAGACCCAGTGCAGCCATAGATAAATAGATAAATTTAATTAAAAAAAATTAGGTGAAACAGTTACCTATTCCAGTCTTAAAGCGTTGTCCTTGCATGGGAGCATTCCTCTGCAGTCTACACTTGGGATTCGGTGGGGGAGGTGGATCTGAAGTAAGCACAGGTCATGTCTTCCCCCCAGAGTGTGCTGGCAGCTATCACTTGGTGGGAGATGGGGCTGGAGGGGGACGGGCTAGAGCCTGAGCCAGGTGTGAGCCAGGGCTTCTCCTAACCTCAGTGGCTGTCACAGCCCTGTGGGGGCAATGGCAGGTCCCAAGGTACTGGAGCAGAAGCCCTGAGGGTTGGGTAGGAGCTGGTTCTGTTCCGTCTAGGTGTGCACTCTCCCTGCTCTCAGCAACGCCTTTACCTTAGAGGGGAGCAGCACTAGAGCAAGGAGGGCTGGAGTGGGCACCGGTGCAGGTTGGGGCTTGTACTGGGGTGGTTCCAGCACACCAGTCATAGCTCAGGACAGCTCCCCGTCCGCCACTTCCATGAGCACCAATAATGCCCACCCTTGCCCCATTCAGATGCAGTGCTGGGTCCAAGCTGGCCACTCTCCTGGGCACAGCAGCCTTCACCCTAGTGGGGAACTGCACTGGGGGTAGAGGTGCCAGAGCGGGTGCTTGGCATGGGCTGGGGCCCATGCTGGGCTGGTCATGGGAAACTGACCAGAGTCCTGGGCAGTTTCAGTCTGTTTCCTCCACCTTTTCCAGTAGTAACCAAGCGTGGGTGCACTTTTCTTGAGTAGAGTCTAGGTTTCGTATAGCCCTCCTGTTAGTCCCACTGGTTTTCAAACCAGCTAAGGGAACTCTTCCTGGTGTCAGATCCCAGGGCCAGGGTGCCCAATATGTGGTTCAAACTGTTCACTCCCCAGGGAGGATCTCTGAGCCCTTGTAATCTCCCTCCTCTTCTGTGTCCCCTTCTAGGGGCACAGGTCCCAGTTCTCTTCCCTTCGTACCTGACTCTGTGTGGATCTTTCTTTACAGCCTTGGTTGTATAAGAGTCGTTCTGCCAGTCTTCAGTTTGTTTTCAGTGAGAATTGCTCCACGTGTAGATGTATTTTCGATGTGTATGTGGAGCGGGGGAGCTCGTTGTCCTTCTATTCCAACATCTTAATCTCGGGCCACACTGATATGCTTTAAATTTAAAACCTTTACAACTGGATAATGATCAGAGCTTTATGGGGGAGTGTTAGGCCTCTTTCACTGTAGAGGACTTTGCAAAATGTCCTCTCATGTCTTTGCAAGAGCAAAGAACCTAAAATGTTAAAGTCAGAAGCAATCTCAGTCATCACTCAGTTCACTTTATAGATGAGGAGGGCAGTGACCTGCCTTAAGGCCACTCCACTAAAAAGCAACAAATCAAGAACCAAGAACCAGAGCCCAGGGCTTCTGACTTCAAGTCATTTGCATCCAGTCGAATATGATGTAGACATTGAAAGGAATTCTGGAGGTTCCGTTATGGAATGTTCACCAGAATATATCGTATGACAAAAGCTAGGGACACAACACGGTGTAATGTGTTACCATTTGTGACAAAATGGGGCAAGGAGATAATGTACATGCATGGTTATAAATATCTGGATATCCCTGGAAGGAAAGAAAAGCAAATAGTAATAATGTTGCCTCTAGGAAGAACTGGGATCAAGGGAGGGAGGGAGAAATGCCAGTCACCGGATACAGTCGTCTACTGTTTGAATGGTTTACCTTTTGCATGCATTCATTTGAATAATGAGTGAACTGTTTAAATAAACAATTTAAAATCAGTAGCTTTTCACTGTCTAAAGTTCAGGGAGTTACAAAAACTCTGCAGACTCTGGTACCCGCGCATCTCTTGCCAAGCCCATCTCGTGCCTTATGCTGCAGGCACATGGGTTCCTTGCAGTTTCCTTACTCCGCTCATTATGTAGAAGTTCTGCCTTTTTAACTGCTTTCAAGACTTCCTATCTCCTCTACACTCCAGGCATACCCTGTCCTTCATGTTCATTCCAAACATGCCTTTTCCTTAGGGCCTTTGCATTTACTGTTCTCTCTGCCTGCAACACTCAGCCTCCAGGTATCTGCATGCTCCCTAACCTCCCTCGGGACTTGGCATACCCTACTTATCATAAAACAATATCCACCCACTGTCACTTTTCGTTTCTCTTTTTTATGTTTATTTTTCTTCATAGCACTTGTCACTATGTGACTTTGTTTGTTGTTGCTGTTCACTTATTCTCATTAGAATATAAACTGTATTCTATATAGGGAGCAGACTCTATTTTATTTAGGAATTAAGTAAATACCTAAATTGTATCCAGCTTGCCCTAAAGGAATTAATGAAGAAATGTAATAAACCTGAATTTTGCATTTTAGGGACACATTGGGAAAATTATATATATATATATATATATATATATATATATATATATATACACACTCTCTCACACACAGACACACGCACATACACGCTAAAATGAATACACATACACATTCCAGTCCTTTTATCATATCCAGAAATCCAGAAATTGTGAGAATGATTTCTGAACACATATCTCCCAGTGAAAAACAGCTTGAAAGTAGAAGCCACGAGAGACAGCCTACTTACTAAACTGATGATTATAGTCTGTGACCCATTCTTCTGAAAGTGTTCTTAAACAGGCTCTGGACATTTAAGTTACTGGGAAGCCAAATTATTGTCATAAAGTTGCTTAGGGCACATGAATTGGAACCTGAGGAGGTAGGTACTATTTAAATGCCATTATAAATGGCATGGAGCTTTTAGCCTGATGTGGCCATCTCCTCTCTAGGAAACTAAGATAGGCCAAGGCAGCCTCTCCCCGAATGATGCTGGGCTAGACTGGGCTCTGCCAACTTCTGCTTCTGAGTTTTCCTTGTCTTGCCATTGGTTCCTGAAGCCCCACTCTCCTGAGCATAATAAGCATTGTGTCACGTGGCTCACATACATATTTGTAGCTGTTCTTCAAGTATATGAAGAGGTCATAGCTAAAACTCAGATTCATTCAACATACATTCATTACTTAATTGTAGATCTCTGTCATGCATCTTTTGGGACAAAGGATTCCAAGTAAAAGGGTTAGGGTTTCATGATTTATTTTTTAATATTTAAAGAGGTTGATGTACATTCTCAGAAGTGAGGAACACTGTCCTGGTCTGACCATCTACTTCTGTTGTGATATTCCACTAAACAAGTTAAAGTGCAGTTGATTAGATTTCACACTTAAGGTCTTACATCACCTTAACTGGAGTTTTTCCACAGTTTTTTTTTTTTTTCCTGATTTACGACCACAGATGGTTAATTACATCCGCTACAGGTTTGACAAGCTAGGTTACTAAAGGTAATCTTCACCGCCTTCATTCAAAGCTTTGGGAATCTCTAAAGCAAAGGAAATAAGGAGGACGAAGAGATTAATTAGGTTTCTAGAAGGAATAGGTTTCGAGGTGGAACTTGAGACAGAATTTCACAAAGAAAGCAACTTTAGGGGCTTCGGAAACGGGTAAAGCACAAATGGAGGGACTGATAATCCCATCCCTCGCATGTGCGGGGCTGTTGTAACGCGAGATGAGGCCGACTCAATCCACTCCGAGAAGGGTTTATAAAACGCCAATGTGAGGCAACGGAACTTTCCTCCTCCGCATCGGGGAGCCATCGAAGGTTCTCAGCAGGTGAGAGGCATGACCGGATTGGCCAACGGAAGGATGATCAGCATTTTAATTTCTCCGGCGCTCTCTTCAGACCTCTGCCCGCACCTCAGGCCGGCTTTGCGGTAGGTGGTGTTGGGGCTCTCGGGCAAAGCGAAGCGCAGGGCAGCGTAGAGCAGACCGGCTATGCTGCCGCGTCAGGCTGGGGCCGCCAAGCCGCTGCCGGGCGTTGCACCTGGGCCCGGCCCGGCCGCCCATTGGACGGCTCCGGATGACCCGGCTGTATCGCGAGACGAGATTGGCAGTAGCGGGGCCGCATGTGCCCCCGCGCTGGCTTTGTACGCGGAGCCGCCTGCCGGTCCTTTAACAATGGGCGGCGCGAGCGCCCCGGCGCTGGGCCCGAGCTGAGGCCGGCGCTTCGCGGCCGACTGTCCGCAGCATGAGCGGGGCCGGCGTCCCCCGCACGCTGGCGGGGCTGGGCCTGTGAGGGCCGCGGTTCCGGGTAAGGGAGGCCGCCGTGGGAACCGGCAGGCCTGGGCTGGCGGCGGGGCACCGGACCCGCCCGGCCCGGCCTTTTGTTCGCCTTTCTGGGGCCGCGCGATCCCGTGCGCTCCTCTGGATGAGGAGGCGGCGGCCTGAGTGCGCGCTGGGGTCGGCCGGGCCTCGAGGAAGTTCCCGGGGAGGAGGGCGCCCCCGACTGTCTGCGGCGGGCACCCGGAGCCGCGCGGGCGTCCGGAGCCGCGCGGGCGTTCGTCTCCGGGTTTCTCGGCGGGAGGTTTTCACCTCAGGGGGACTGTGACTGGTGTCAAGTCTCCTCTTCTCAGGGCCGGCTGGAGAATTAAAGCCGGGGCTCGGGGAGCCCGAAGCCGGGCCTCCAGTCCGGCTTTTCTGAGCACGCGTCCGGGTCCGCGCCTTGGGAACTAGGGCCCAAGTTGGTCCCAGTTTGCCCGGCGCCCGGTCCGGCCGTTATCCAAACAAGCCGGCTTCTCCTGACCGGTGGCTCGGGCCTTACGTGCGGCGTCGGGGAATTGGTTTGGATCGGTGCTGATTTTAGGACGAGTCAGGTGAAGATGAACAGTCGCCCAGGGTGGCCTGAGGTCACACGCCTCGGGGAGGGGGCGCGGAGGGGCGCGTGGAGGGAGCTGGCAGTGACCGCGTCTGGGGTGTGTCTTACAGACTGAAGTTGCCGCGTTCTGGCCAGGCGCGCCGCCCGGTCCCATGGAGCTGGAGGGTCAGTGGTGGCGGGGACAGCTGGCTGCAGATATCCATCAAGCTCTTCGATACAAGGTAACCGCGATGCCCCGACCTTTCCATTCGGTGTCTTATGCCAGTTAGTATGAATCTCGGCTCCCTGGAAAGCCCTGTCCGGGTCTTTAGCCACTAGTTTCCAGACCAGAAAAGGTGAGTTTGCCTATTTGCTCAAAGTTAATTAACTTCTTGGCTTCTTCCCTGGGTTGTAGCAGAAGAACCTGAAACTTGAATGAGGAGGGGGTGGGGCGTGGTAGTTGGGAGAGGGAAGGTGTGAAGGGACATTCTGATGTCCTTGTTTCCAGATGGAACATGGATTTGATACTGTATTTAAAAAGATACGTGTGCTGGCTTTTAATTGGGCAGAGCAGCCCTCCTTTATTCTATAGTTGCTGTTGCATGCAGCTGTCTGTTACGTCACATTTGTACAACAGTAAATTCCCCAGCCTTTCCACTAACTTGCTGTGAGACTTTGGACAAGTTACTTAATTTTCTGCTTCTCAATTTCCTCATCTGTCAAATGAATAACAGAACGTGCTTTATGGGACGACTGTGAAGATTAAAATGAGGTAATACTGTAGATGTGCTCAGAACAGTGCTTGGCATATAGTAAGCACTAAGGAAGTGATAACTATTTGTTATTCTCTACCCCCGAAACCCCAAGACTTGGGGGGTGTTCAGAAAGCCTTAAGGTAGGAGTTAGCTGCTCCTTCAGCTAATATCAAAGGCCAGGAGTAGACCTAGTATATTTTAAAAGATTTTGGGGAAAAAGTACACCTTTCTGGCACGATGCAAATTTTGTTTATTGTTGCTCCTAAGTAACAGTTTTATTCTGTATGTCACATCTCAGCGAAATGTGTCAGCTCTGCATCTTTGATAACCAGAAGAGAGACCAGATCCAAAATTAACTCTAACTTAACTTAATTTCACTATGGATAGAGAGAGCCGCTCATTATGTATAGAAAATTGGAAAGAAGCAAAACAGCTGACTCTTTAATAAAAAGGCTGCTCACTGTTGGAGTTGAGAGATCCTGGGATGATAATGAACTTGTGTCTTGATTTTTTTTTAACCAGGTTAAGTAGATTAGAAAACCTAATTCTGACTTAAATTGTTACAGTTGTACCCTTTTCTAAAGTTTGAGTTCTAAATGCCGCTTATTAATTCTGACATTCAGTCTCTTAGACACTAAATACACCTCAGCCCCCTAAGAGGCTGTTTGTACTACAGAAAAGTCTCAACTATGGCATGGTCCTCTGGAACGTTAAGAAGAGAGTTGCGGGTTTTCCACTTTGAAAATTGTCCAAATACCTTTGTTTTTTAATTTTTTTTTCAGATGTTGTCTTTCAGTTTTAAATGCTCTGATTTTCTAAGTGTCAGCTCTTTAATTCCTCTGGTATGTGGTGAAAATAATATTTGATGTTAATGATACATATGTTTTGTAATGACATGAAACTTAAAAGATTTTTCTTGGTGATTTCCATGGTTTTCGATTCTTACATTTTATGAGTAATTTTAATCCTGAGTGATTACCTGAATTAATTTTGTTAGTTGAGGTTGGAAATGGATTTTTTTTCCAGCAGATTTGTTGAATGTTTTTGTGTATTGAGCTCTGGGGAGGATCCAAGGAATAAGACACAACCTGTACTAAACTTACTTACAAACTATCAGAGGACGAGATAGCACAGGGCCTGAAAGAATGCTACTGAAAGTTGTCTTGGGCCACCTGTGGCATGCTACTGTGGGTTGTCTTTATTTTATCTTTAAGCATTGTGTAAGCCACATTCTTGCTATTTGACACAATGGCCACACTTTATAATTTGTTAATCAGTAAAACTTGAACCTGTGGAACTGGAGAGACCACTGTTTATAGTATACTGAAGTCAAGGAAAGTTAAAATGAACTTTTCTCACAGAGAATACATGTTAATTCCAGGCTATTAATTAGGTGATTTAGTTGGGTAATCATAGGCTTATTCAACATATTTGCATGCCTACAGTGTGCAAGGTGCTGTGCCAGGGGTTGGAATGGTAATAGTGAATGAGACAGACATGATCCCTACCTTGATGGAGTCTAATCTCATACAATTTAGAGCATCTGAATTTAGGTCTTCCTTAGGGCAGTTGCCATTCAGGCACAATGGAAGGTATCTGTGTTTAGACCCAAGGTCTGTGGAGGAATAATTGGTGTGACCAGCCTTGCATCTACTAGGGAAGAGTAAAAATTACAACAAATGAAAATCCTCTTTAACCCCAAATGCCAGCTGTATTGTTTTTGTAAAATACAATCACTTCTCCCCCCCCACCACCCCCAACAAAGCAGCTGTCCTCTTATACCCTGTGTCTTCTCTTTCTTCTCATTGTTTTGCTATGTATACTAGTGTCTTAGGATGCTTGGGGAAGTATTTTCAGGAGCCTTTATGACAGATGGGAACAATGCTAATTTTGTGAGAAGCATCAAGAAAATATCCCACAGAGTTGTGAGTATTCCTTCTATGCCTTTATTTCCAGCCTGACTGGACAGTTAACCCATTCTGGGAAGGGGATGGCATTTAGGGTGGTGAGCTAGTGGGGACCTGAGATTGGAGATGGAGATGACATGTTTAGGTCTCTCTGTGCTTTGGTCCTGTGGGATCCTGAGAAGCAGACAGGAACAAGAGTATTCAATTCTAGGGGATCAGGAATAGACATTAGAAAAAACTCATAAGCTGAGAAAAGCATAGGTCATTTTCTCACGCATATAACTGCACTACATGGACAAGGAACTAAATCTGACAGCCATATGATAAGCCCTTGTACTTTACCATTTAAAATAATATAAAGAGAATGTATTGGACACATTGTTAACAGTCTCCTAGTGATGGCCCTTGGATTCTTGCCTTTGTTTTGTCTTCATTTGGCAGAGTTAACATTGTTAAAAATAAAGTCCACAAGTGTCTTCCAGCTAAGTTTCCCAGTGCATCTTTAAGACCTTGTTCAGGCCGCTTTTACAGAAAGCCTGCCCTGGTTTTGTTTTTTCCTAACATCCCACCCCGTGAGCTGGGTTAGATCTCCCTCCTCAGTGTTCTATAATACCCTGTCATTACTATATTATATTCTAATAATCTCTGTATTTTGGTTCACCTGCTGGAGAGAGGCTTGAGACTGTATTCCAGCTTTTATCCCTGAGGTTAAGCACAGTATCTGCTACATGGGAGATGCTCAATAAATGTCACATGATGACAGCTAAGAAAGTTGAAATTTGAAATGGTAACTCATTTACACCATTGTAAAAATCTACAGAAATGGTAAAAAAGAAGAGAAAAATCCTAGAGACTACATGAGAAATTCACATGTTCCCTTTATTTAGAGAAATTAGTATTTTTTCTCTTCAAAGAGTTGAGCAAGCCTAAGCCAATGTGTTTTCTTTTTCTTCAGTAGCATTTGTTGATCCTTTTTTCACTTATACAAAAATTAAAAACATAAAATAGCCCATTAGCCTATCTCCCAAGTAACTCCTACTAATATATTTTTAAGTGATACATGCATATGGGTTTAAAAATTTTGGGATAGTATCTGGTGTTTTATTTATTTGTTTATTTACTTTGGCTGTGCTGGGTCTTCGTTGCGGTGCACGGGCTTCTCTAGTTGCGGCACGCAGGCTTTGTTGCAGTATGTGGGATCTTAGTTCCCCTACCAGGGATCGAACCCGGGCCCCCTGCATTGGGAGCGCAGAGTCTTAACCACTGGACCACCAGGGAAGACGCAGTATTGGGTTTAAAATGAGCTTTCCCCAACCCTCACTATTCCCTGATTCCCTAAGGTTACCAGCATTATTGGTTTTTTTCCTGAAAAGATACCCAATAAATTAGTATATTTGCAAATATAATTTTTTTGTTGTTGATACAAGAGGTTGTAATACATATTCACTGTTCTGTACCTTCATCCCACCCCACCCTCACTCAGTTTGTCAGAATTTTCCATATCAACACATATAGGTCTACTGCCCATTATTTTAATGTCCACATTGAATCGATGTCCCTTAAGTTTATCTAATTAGTTCCTTGTTGCTAGACATCAAGCTTTTTAAAAAAATTACGCTTATTTTGAGACCCCCCTATACCCTTTACCCAGTCCTCCCTCCCCATCTCCCCCCCCACCCCCATGGTAACCATCTTGCAAAACTATGGTGCAATTATCACAGCCAGGATAGTATTGATATTGATACAGTCAAGGTACAGAACATTTTCTGTACATTTATCACCACAGGGATCTCCCATGTTACCCTTTTATAGGCACACCCTCTTTCGTCCCATCCTCATCCTCCCTTAACCTCTGGCAACCACTGATCTGTTCTTTATTTTTATAATTTTGTCATTTCAAGAAGTTACATAAGTGGAATTATGCACTATGTGATCTTTGGGGATTGGCTTTATCCACTCAAAATAATTCTCTGGAGATCCGTGCAGGTTTTTGACATTAACCTTTTTATTCTACCATTTTGCTATTAAAAAGAGTGCTGCAAAGGACCTCCTTATATGTAGGATAAACTCCTAGGCCTGGTGTTGTTAGCTTAAGGGGTATCTACAGTCTGCATTTTCAAAAATTTATATTACCTAGTTCTCCTTCAGAAGGTTATATCGATTGTCAGTGTCACCAATAATATATGGGAGTTCCTATATCCACTCTTGATAGCATAAGCAAAAAGTTAATAAAATATAATCTGGTAAGTGAAAAACTATATAGTTATCCCTCAGTATCCATGGGGAATTGGTTCCCAGATCCCTGCGGATACTGAAATCTGAGGATGCTCAAGTCCCTTATATAAAATGGAGTAATATTTGTGTATATCCTACACACATCCTCCTGTATACTTTAAATCATCTCTAGATGACTTAATCATCCGTGTTGTAGCATATATCAGAATTTCATTCCTTTTTAAGGCTGAATAATATTCCATTGTATGTATATATTGCATTTTGTTTATCCATTCATTTGTTGATGAACACTTGGGTTGTTTGTTTCCACTTTTTGGCTGTTGTGGACAATGCTGCTATGAACATGGATGTACAAATATCTGTTTGAGTCCCTACTTTAACTTCTTTTGTGTATATACCTAAAAGTAGAATTGCTGGATCATATGGTAATTCTACATTTAATTTTTTTTGAGGAATTGCGATACTGTTCTCAGTGACTGCACAATTTTATAATTCCTGCCAATACACAAGGGTTCCAATTATTCTGTATCCTTGTTGACACTTGTTAGTTTCTGTTTTCTAGATTTTGTTTTTTGGGTTTTTTTGACAATAGCAATCCTAATTGGTATGAAATGGTATCTCATAATGGTTTTTATTTGCATTTCCCTAATGATTAGTGATTTTGAGCATCTTTTTACGTGCTTATTGGCCATCTGTATGTCTTCTTTGGAGAAATGTTTAGTCAAGTCCTTTGCCCATTTTTTACTTGAGTTGTTTTTTTTTTTTGTTGAGTTGTATATATAAAAGAGTCCTTTATTTAATCTGGATATTAACACCTTACCAGATATGTGATTTGCAAATAGTTTCTCCCATTCTGTGTGTTGCCTTTTCACTCTGTTGATAGTGTCCTCTGATGCACAAAAGTTTTTATTTGATGAAGTCTAATTTGTCTTTTTTTTTTTTTTCCTGTGCTTTTAGGGTCATATCCATGTTACTTCCTTCCATTGTGATACCTTTTGGGTTTAGTGTGGCATTATGCTGAGCTCATAAAATGAATTTAGAACCCTTCCATCTTTCTCTGTGTTCTAGAAATACTTTAATAGTGTAGAAATTTTCTAGTTTTTAAAAAATGAGAAGCCTGATTAGAAGATACTAGTGGATGTATACTAGTCTGTACCTTCCACATCCCTGCATGTATAATACAGTATGCATCATACGAGGAACATATCTGTTACCTTCTAACCAAAAGCTTTGAGCTTCTTGTAGGGGGTGTGTATGTATGGTTTGGTTGGTATTTTGGTAATGCTGTTTTCCTGAAAACACCTGGTAGGGAAAACAGGATTCCCTTATTAAAAATCTTGTTAGAATACATTTATTCCATAATGCAGGAAACACCTATAACTGGTTATGTCAGATGTGGTTAAGAATAAGGAGAAAAGTTTGGTTTTAAATTTTAAATGCCATTCATTATCCTGCCACTCATCTTTTTCATTTTTGTGTTTTACTCAAGAAAAGTGTGTTTTAGGCACTTGTATCAGTAATATATTGGGGGAAAAGTGTCACCTTTGCACTGTGGGAATAATTCTTCTATATGCTATGTGAGACTAAATGTTGTTCCTCTTGATTTAGGAGCTGAAGTTACCTTCCTACAAAGGCCAGTCCCCTCAGCTAAGTCTTAGAAGGTATTTTGCTGACTTGATTGCCATTGTGAGCAATCGTTTCACCCTCTGCCCTTCTGCCCGACATCTCGCTGTCTATTTGCTGGACCTGTTTATGGATCGGTATGACATCTCTATCCAGCAGCTGCATTTAGTTGCACTTTCCTGTCTGCTTCTAGCAAGTAAGTATGAATCTGATATACATGACTGGAAAATTCCATTGTTTATAATAAAATAAATTTATATAGAACTCAGTGAAATATCACCAAATTCCTTTCATTCCAGTTTACTAGTATCGGAAAGTTTATGTTGAAAGTGCTTTTTGGCATAGCAGTTCTTAACCGGACATATTAAAAAGTGGCTCTGGAGTCTTAAAAGCATGTGTGCCTGGTCCTACATCCTAAAGATTCTGATACAGATGTCTAAGCCATTCCAGATCTACTGACTCAGAATCTACATCATGGGGCCTGGATATTTTTTAACTTTTTAAAAGTTCCAAAGGTGATTCTGATGTACTTTTCCAATTAAGAACCATTGTCTTAAAGCAGTGGTTCTCAACCAAGAGCAGTTGTGCCTTATGGGGGGTAGTTGGCAATGTGTGGAGACAGTTCTGGCTGTCGTCACAACCTGGGCGGAAGGTAAACATCTGCAATTCACAGGACAGCCCTGCACAACAAAGAGTTATCTAGCCCAAAATGTCAGTGGAGCTTAGGCTGAGAAACTCTAAAAGGTACCATACTCTCCCGTTGTTAGAATACCTTCTACTGGGTGTGTAATGAGTTGGATTAACGAACTGAAGACTCATGTGCAACTGCTATAAATGTGAAAACATCTGCTTTTGCAGGAGGCAAAACTACGTAGTAAGCTGTAAGGTAGAATCTGATAATGAGCCTTTTGGTGCCTTTCTCTTAACATCTTCCTGTAACACATTTCATTGTTTGTTAGTACCTTGAGAGAAAGAGGGTGAGTAAAGGCATTGAAACTGAAAGTTTTCTTCTTTTAGTAATGTGAAAAGATGGTATTTGATATTGAAGTTGAATCCATTATGTAGTTTTTATATTATTCATGTCATTACAATAGAAATTTAAGTCCCACTTAAAGTAGCATGTAGAAACACTGACTGCCTTCACCTCTAACCTCCACTTGAGGGTTTAGGATCCAATGTGATTGCTGTCTAAGGAACATTCCTCCTCTACCCTGCCACCAGAATTCTTTCTAAAACACCTTTGCACTTTGACTGCAAATAAACCTAAACCAAATGCAGGCCTGTGTGGTATCATTTATGAAACCAATCTCTCCTCAGATTTTCTTTTCCTGCCCTTATTTTTCCTTTCATCTGATGACCTCAACCTCTTATCTCCTTGAGCAGGTCTTTTTGTAAGTTATTTCAACTCCTTTGTGGATCAGGCTGAATATAAATAAACATAGCCCACTGATGACTTTCCACTGCCTGTGGGTTGAGGTGGAAACCTCTTATTGTAACACTTAGAACCTTTCATCTAGACCCAGCCACCTTTCTAGACTTGCCTTCCAACCCTGTCCCCATGTAACTTAAGTCAGATTCTTACCAGAATAGTATATTTCCTGAATATCTATATTTCTCTCTTAATCTATTATCCTCTGAGATCCAGACACATCACCTGCTCTCTCCCCACCATCCAGAAAGCCAGAGGTAATGCTTGTACATTTATAAGTAACCTTTAATTTAACCTTTAATTAGGGTTTCATCCTCATAAGCAATCATGTGTACAATTCTGTATATGTTTCATCACTAGCTATGAAGCCCTTTGTGGTTTAATAGTTTGCATAGGATTGGAAAAACCCATACTTGACATGTCAAATGTGTGAGTATCCACATGGAATGGCTTCTTGTTATCCTGAGAATGTTAGTTTATTATAGGATCAGTTTATAGTAGAGAGACACTGGAAGTCAAACATGCAAGTTAGGTTATTTTAAAAACTTGGGATCATTAATGAAAAATTGCCTGCTATGGTTATCACTGTCCTTTTACCACTACCAAGCCCTACCTGGTCTATGCCTATGGACTGTGAAATTATGAGTGATGCATAGTCAGTTCGTAGACTGACTTACATTTGTGACTAAAATTACTAGTAACTTACTAAGTTACTTGGGGATTATAAACTAGATATTCATAAACTACATGTCACTACCAAAGTTCACCTAGGTCTCTAGTTGAATGACAACTCTGGCCACCATGCAGTGCTTGGCATTGGTGTCAGGTTTCTGCAATTTCCACAGTTTGGGGAAAGGATACTTTATTTGTGCACCATCTTAGATTGGTTGGAATGGAGTTTTCAGTTGTTCTTGTTTTTAAATTATCTATTACTGTTAGTTTAACGTCGTGATCAATTTATTTTATTGAAGGTTATTTGATTTAATCCGTGTAGTAGTATGTAGTTCTTTTGGCTCATTTTCCAGGAACTAGGATTTGCATTTGCTGGGTTCAAATGTGAACTGTTTACCACCTGTTACTAAAAGAGTCAGATACCTCCTCCCTTTGTTCTGCTGACCCCACCCCTTTTTCCCTGAGAGAGAATTGCTCTTACATTGTTCCTCTTCCACTGGAGAGTGGGAAAGTGTGAGATAGGTGTCCCCCAGGGTCTCTGCTCCTCCCAAGTAGGCACTGGTCAAACGAGTTCAAGCTATCAGCTCTTCACTAGGGTCAGGAATCAAAGAGACTGGCCCTTAGTAGCCCACTGCAATCTCTCCTCCCTCCCGTCTAACTTCACTACAACAGAAGTGCTTAGGATGCTTATAAACTGGTAGCCTGTTTTCAGTATCTAATGTCTGTTTTAAATTTGTGGAGTTCATTCTAGTGTTTCTTACACTCTGTCGTCTTATATTTGGATTCCGATGTCAGCTCTCCAAATAGTTATCATAAACTTTATTCAAATAGTGCTTCTCTCCTCACAGAATGGATGTCCCCCTCCCCCAGCTGCTCCCTGCTTTGGGATGGGCAGCCTTTTGTGTAAAAGTGAAAAACAACTTACAGCCGACAGGACTGGGTGACAGCTGTATTTCAATTATTAAATAGGTCGGAAGGCTTTTGGGAGTTTGGCTAAAAATGGAGCACAGCTTGTAAGTTCAGGTACTAATGCATATCCTGCTGCCTGGGTGTACATACTATTAGAGGTGGGAAGAAAGGGCCTACAGATTGGGGAGAGGCGTGTAGTGTTTTAGAGCGGGGATTATAGGAAATCTATATGGATATAGGTTTGAATCTCGTCAGCAATATGAATTTCAACAACTTGAACTTGAGTCTCAAGTTACTTCTCTATAAAATAAAAATAGACACCTTACCAAGTTGTTGTGAGGATCAAGTGGGGTAATATGTTTAAAAGCATGTATGAAATTGACACATAAAAGTTAGCATTGTAATGATTAATTCCTCCATAAGTGTTCTATAATCTTCACTGGCTCCCTAGCCCCAAAGGTTTTGGCTCATTCCAGAAAAGACTGATTTATCCTGGGAAATTCTCAAACTCTAACTCTTTGACATGTACACCCTGGCTTCCCTTGCCTTCTGTGATCAGCATTGAACTTGTAGAGAGCATGGAAACAGTCTTAAACGTGAGGCTTTTGATAATTTGCTCAAGGTATTGTGTAACTAAGATTTTGGAGTCAAGATGAAGCCAAAGTGAGATTATAGGCTTTTAATAGTAAAAATTTGTGACAAGAACTTGTTTCTCCTTGCTCACCAATACTGGGTTGACAAAGCTTTTTACTATTTGATGGGTGAAAAACTGTATTTCACAGATGATTTTGTTGATATATCAATTTTTAGTGAGATTAGAACCTTTTTTCTTTTTCCTATGAATTGTCTCTTCTGGTTCCTAACCCATTTTTTAATTAGATAGATAGCCTTATACATTTGTGAGAGTTCTTGGTAAATATTAAGGATGACTTTTTTCCTACTTAGTAATAAAAGACTAGAATGTGGGTTGGCAGAGATTACAGTGACATCTGATCCATGCCCTACTACCACATATCTGCCATTCACTCCTGGCTTTGAAAATGTGCTGGTTTCCATGGCTGATCTGAACATTTCCCATAAAGACAACCTGATGTTTTGTTTCTGTGGCCCCTAATTCTTTGTTTTCTGGGAAGCAGATGAGAATTTCCTGTGCCTTTATTTCCTGTTTGGGGGCCTTTATCAATATAATCACATGGCTTCTGGTATTTCCTTTCAATTGAAGAAACTGATCTTTGTGATCTGTATGTGGTATTAACGGATAAGTAGATTTAAAATAGTCACACACATAGCGTTCAGCACAATAAAAACTGGATATGAATGCAGGTACTCATTGACGCTGTCACACATTTTGAAATCCTTTAATATCCATGTATCTGAGTGTATTACTATATATAGTGAAAAGGTTCCAAAAAAACTTAAACATTAATTAAAATCCCAAGTATGGTTATTTGTGCAGCATGCAGGTTATTTTTTATCTTTGCAAATCAAGATGCAAAGGCTTTCATGCTTGTAATAGCCAAGTACTTTATAAATATAAAAACCCCATGGATGCTTAATAATATAAAAGTTTGTCTATTCTGGTAGTTGTTGTCCCCATTTAACCTGGTGTAGTACTTTGGTCTAGAAGCACAGATTTGGGAATTCAGACATAAATAAGTCTTCCATTTTGGGTTTGACTCAACTTAATTGACTTTAAATGAATTGGCCAACCTTGCTACCTTGGTTTCTTGAGCTGTGAAATTGGTCATATACAACTGTTTTCTATGTTGAAAGTTTCAAGGAGATAATATGAAACATTCTTGATCCTTGCATTAAACAGTGGATTGTGGTATATTAATTCCTTCAAAGGAACGTCAAGCATGATATAAAAAAACTCATTTTTTACAATACTCCTTTGAAGTATACTGCCAGTGTTGCTGCTTCTACACAAATAGAGTACTTTGAAAGTCTTAATGATTCATCCAGAGGGACTGAACTGAACTAAATTCCTAGGTCATTCTCCTTCTGAAGAATTCCATTTGGTTATACTGAGAGAACAGTGGGTTCATCTCCTATATTTATGCAGTGATCATGCTGGATGACTGTCATTAAGACCACTTTAGTGCTTTCAGCTGTACTAATAAATGCCTCTGGCAAAACTTGTGAAATTTATCTTTGTGTGATTTGAATTGGGAAGGACTATCTAGATTCTTGAAAAGTCCGAATTATGTAAGTTTTTTGGATCATCTCTTACCTGCAGCGATGTTAAGAGTAGTTTAAATCTAACAAAGTTCAAAATTTCTGGAGTGGAAGCGAAATTTTAAACTTCTTTGGGACTAGACTCTTCTTAAAGTTATGAGCTTAGAGTCTCTTGGCATAGGAGACAAAACCTTCTACTCTCGTTCACCCTCCCTAAGCAAAGACCAGGGTAGTTAGCAGTGCTTTTTCCCCAGCCCCTAAGGCAGGCTGACTTGAACAGACCTCACTGACTCCATTATGTGGAACATCTGGGCTGAGTGATTCTGGCCACTACCATTTGTTGTCAGAACTTCAATGTGTGGTGTAAACCCATTCCTTCTGGAAGAGAAACTTCACAGGGAAACTCATTTGGTTTCTTCCGGTTTGGTAGTCTTCGTGGTCTTCCCCCCAAAATGTTTTTAAATGGATAAAATTGTAAGATTTCTAAAGAAATCAAATATATTTAAATAGTTATCAAAATAGTAGAACAAAAAATTTATATAGTAATATATAACATATTCTAACTAATTATGAACAAGTGCAAAAGCTATTGTGAGAAATCTATAATAATTGCAATATAATATGACTATTTTATACCTTAATGTAAAATAGAACATAATGCTAGGAGGTAGAAACCTTCAGTTTTAAATCTCCCTTCTATGGATAATCATGGAACAAAGACCCAAAGAGACTTGACGATAACTCTTTTGGTTCTGTTGCTGCATTTGGAAAATCATAATAGTACTTGATAGCTTGAGTTTTCTCCAGCCATAACTTTTAGAAACATCTAAAGTGAATGATTTATATAGAGTAAATGCTTGCTTGGAAATTAAAGTGTGAGATGGTACATAATCCATAGAAAAATTATTCAGGGGCTGGAGAGGGCATTTTATTCCTCAGCTGTGCATATGGATGAGTATTTCCTGAAGAGAAGTTAATGCCTTCAAATAATGACGTTCAGCCATCAGAGCATCTTTACTCCTATTCTGCTTTGAGTAAGGGGATATAAAAGTGGTATAAAATATCCTCCCTTTTCTTAATAACAGACTTGGCTACGTTTTTGTTTTGAATTTAGAACAGGAGGAATAGGGTTTTTTGTATAATGAGAATGCTTATGTTAGATATTCACCCAGTTTTTTTCCTCTAATCTATTTGTATCTCTCTGGAATTGAGATTATGCTGAAAATATGCTGAGATGAAACACTTGAAGCTTAGCTATTTTTGATTTTGGATAACTATGACATTAAATTCTTTAAACTTTCTTCTGTTCTAACATAATTTTCTTTTACCAACTACCGCCTAACCCCCAAAAGAAAGTTCCTGAAAAGATTCAGCTGGTGAGATGATGGAGTTATTTTTTCATTGGCACATAGGACTGTTTTCATTACACAGTAGGACATATATCAAAGTGTTTACACATTCCGGGTTTTTTTTAGGGGAGGGTGAAGGGTGGGGAACAGAGGCACTGGGAGAGAAAACATGTAGATATGAGAACCACAGAGTTCTGGCACAATTGTATCTGCCCAAAGTAGGGGAAAAAATGTCTTTGGATCTAAATCTTTGCACTAGGACGGCAGATCCCATTTAAGTGACTAGGCTTAGATTGATCACTCGCCTAACATTTTCTCTCTCGCTCTTATTTTCCTTTGCTTATAAGGTAAATTTGAAGAAAAAGAAGATAGTGTGCCTAAGCTGGAGCAGCTCAACAGCCTGGGTTGTATGACTAATATGAATCTAGTATTAACAAAACAAAATTTGCTACATATGGAACTATTATTATTAGAAACCTTTCAGTGGAACCTCTGCCTTCCAACAGCTGCCCATTTCATTGAGTATTATCTCTCCGAAGCCGTGCATGAAACCGATCTTCATGACGGCTGGCCAATGATTTGCTTGGAAAAAACTAAACTCTACATGGCCAAGTATGCAGATTACTTCCTGGAAGTATCTTTGCAAGGTGAGTCATTGTGGATGCCAGTAAGTGACTTGTGAGCTTGTGACTTGCGCATTCTGTTGCTTAGGTTCATTTTTGATGTCTCCACAGATTATGCCTTTCTAAATTATGCACCTTCTTTAGTAGCTGCAGCATGTGTGGCTTCTTCAAGGATTATACTTCGTCTTTCTCCAACGTGGCCTACAAGACTGCATCGTCTTACTGCTTACTCCTGGGATTTCTTAGTTCAGTGCATTGAACGGCTATTGATGTAAGCCTCTTTGTTCTTGTGTTTGTAATTTCTTATTAACATTCTCCATGTATAAGGGGCCCTGGGAACAAGTTCTCAAAGGCCCAGAGCTTTTACGATACTGGCTCTGACAGCTGCCTGCTGCCATGAGCAAGCCCCTGTATGAGCAGTACTTGGTGGAAGGGGAATTCCTTTTGGCTGTTACCCAGGTAGAGGTTGTCATTGCTAGTATGATTCGGGGTACATAATAAGGAAAGGAGGTGCTCTTGCGTGAGCCCACAACTCTGAGATCATCCAGGCAAATCTTGCCTCATTCCCACATCTTTGAATTGTGGGACCATCAGGATGTCACCAAAGTGGCAGTCATATTTAAGTACTTACTGTGGCCATAGCTCCCAAGCTGAAAATAGCCCTTAAAGCTACCAGCAGTCAGTTCTCAAGGGCTCTACCAAGGAAAGGAGCTTTTAGAAAGCTAAGAGTGAGATCTTTCTGTTGTTGAAATTATGGTTGCAGTGACTGCTACCTGGGCAGTGGGGCAGTCCAGTGAGTCAGCTGTTAAGGAGTTGGGGGTGGTGCACGGCTTTCCTGCAAATTTTTCTCAAGTTAACATTATTAACAGTTTCCTTTCTCTCCATGTTGCAGCGCTCATGACAATGATGTGAAAGAAGCAAACAAACAGAGAGGACAGGCAGGACCTCAGCCAGCACAACTAAGTGTGTTCCAGACAGCCTCCCAGCCCTCTCGGGCAGTTCACTTTCAGCAGCCTCAGTATCTCCATCAGACGCATCAGACCTCGCTGCAGTATCGCCATCCTGTATCGGAACAACCGAGCTGTCAGCAGATTGTATCTACCACACACACCTCATCTTACACACTACCGACATGTCCTGCTGGCTTCCAAACTAGTGTTCAGGGCCTTGGGCACGTGCAGACTGGTGTTGGGATGTCACTGGCAATACCAGTAGAAGTTAAGCCCTGTCTGAATGTTTCTTATAACCGGAGTTATCAGATAAATGAACATTACCCTTGCATTACTCCATGCTTTGAAAGGTGATTTTATGAGAAGGTAAGACTGGTAACCCAGACTGTTTGTGACTCAAAGCTCTGGGGCAAGCTTTGTGTAAACTTCTCTTCAAAAGGAAAGGGATCCAAATGGCATCAGAACTCTTCCGACACCAGCACCAGGAAGACTGAATATCCCTTCCAATGCACCATGAATATCTGGGAGGACTAAGCTAACACTGCAAACACTTTAACAGTGTGTATGTCAAATGCTGTTAAAATACATCCTTATATGACACAAATTTTAAAGCCCCAACTGATGGTCCAAATATTTCAAAAACATTCAACACAACAGAAAACTTGGACAGACTTCAATTTGCCGTTTTGTGATTTTGACCTGTGGTGCCCTCTGGGCCTAATGTTGGCTTATATGTCAGAAACTAATGTTTATCTGTGGACTTGCCAAACAGTCTTCTTATGAAGGAAAGTTACAGTATTAATTTTCGAAGAGGTCCTTTTTTTATTCTGCAGTTTTGAGTTATATTTTTGATCTACAAATGAATTTCTGACTAAGTTTAAACTCATGAATTGCTATGCTATACCAGTCTGTGCAGTTAAAAAAATTTTTTTTAGATATTCTATATAACTTCCTTATCACAGGTAGTATAGGTATCTGGATTTATGTACTAAAATTAAGGGTGGAGTAGCTCTCTTATCTTAAAATCATGGTCATAAATTTTTTGTTGTTTTTTCCCCTAAAGATCAGCCTCAAATCTTTAGAATTAAACACATTTAACTCAGGGAATTTGAACTACTTGGAAACTCTTAACTGTAATGCAACATGCTTTGGGAATGTTATAGTATGAACTACCTTAATAACATAGGTTAGTATACTCCTGCTAGAATGTGTTTTCAAACGAGAACATAATTGTATCCTAGAATGAATGAAGTGGTGGTTCTTATCATTCATAATGCATATATAAGTTTTGCATTTCTCAGTGCAATCAATGATTTATACTCAGATTTGATATTATTCTAAAAAAGTTTTTTCAAGGGAAGGCAAAACTGTAAAATGTCAGTACTAGAATAAAGTCCCATAGGTTTATTTTGAAGTGGAACATGGCCAGGGTAGTTCTCAGGTTGTGCTAGAGCAGCACTTTGTTACATGGAAGACAGGTTTTATAAGCAACCTTTGAATCCAGCTAGTCAAGAGTAAGCAGGCAAAGGTGACTTTCATTAGATTGGCCCCAGGACTGCCCTGGGACATTTCACTATACTGGTGATGAGTGAAAACAGCAATAAGTCATTACAGCAAGGGCAATTTGGGGGTAAAGAGTTTGGAGGGAATAAACTGAAAAAGTAAAAAGAAAAAAATCATTGTAATAACTGAAACTGTATACATTGTGCTCTTAACTGTGGGAGAAGAGATATTTGGTGGAGGGAAGCTTTCTGATTTAAAAATTAGTAAGTTGTGTCTTTTTGTTTGTGTTTTTTTAAAGGTAGCACTTGAATAGAAGGGAAACTGCATGGCAGGTATGTAACTGCCACAATATGCATTGAAGACAAACTTATTATAAAGATGTTGTGGGTATGCAGCAGGAGTCTCAGTAATCAAGCCAATGGCTTTTGTTAGGAAGGGAAGGGACTCAACACAGCAGCGGATCGATCCAGATGGCTCCAGTAGATGAATGTGGGTGGGTGGCTTCTGTCAGCATGAATTCTTAGAGAATATCCTTTCCTTTAAAGAAAGGTAACTTTTAGAGTACATAGGGCATGATGTGGAGTTATTAGTCTGGTAGATAAAATGAAAAACCACTCAGGTAAGAACACTCACTCATGGCAGTTTTCAAGCATGAAAATTGTTTTCTGAAAGTATCACCACTTTCTCTTTACAGAAGGCTGCTAATTGGATTTTGGTAGTTCTTACCTCAAGAGAACGTGAATTATTTGGGGGAAGGTGGGTTCAAAAGAGAATATATCATTCACATTCAGAACCTAGCAACCTGGACCAATTTTCAGTATTTTAACTACCTCAATAATACTATGAATGTAAGATACTGGGATAGAGATCCCAACTTGAAACAACAACTGGTGCCTATGGTAATTTAATGTCTTGTCAAATGCTTTTACTGACTGGTTTAAATGTCATTCTTGTTATAGAATATGCCTTTTTAAAAATCCTATAATAACACTTCCCCAGTTTATATTTAAAAAAGCTAAAGAACACTGGATTAATCTGGGGGGGGGGCGGTGTAGAGTAAAATAAATAATTGGTTCCTGTCGCTGCATACCCAGGGTGGGGTGGGATGGGGTGGTTGGAGAACCAGAACTATTTTTAAAACATTAGGTTTCAATATAAATACAACTCACAACTGCTAGCTTCGGGGGGTGTGGGTGGGGGAGTGGTGTGGGTTTTGTTTTGTTTAATTTATTGATTAGTCTTTAAAGTAGGTTTTTTTGTTTTTTGAGATTACCGGACCATCATTAAATGTGTACTGTGAAGAAATTAATGATATGCATAAAGGGCTTTACCAAAGTCCACTAAATAAACACTAAAGTACGGACTGCAAACCAAAATGTATCTGTTATGACATTAATTGCAAATAGCGAGTATGGTGCTGAAGTCCACACCAATGGAATTAGATGAGTGCTATGCACTTAATTTTAAAATAAAACTAGTTTTTGGTAAAATGGTTTTGGTGTTTTGTTTTAAATATAAATATGGATATCTGCAGCTTCATTAAGCCATATCACGTAAGTCAGACTTGGAATTATACTTACTAAGAAAAGGCTATCCAGATGGAGAATATAACCATAGTAGTGGGAAACATTTGTCCATTCATTATGTATTCCATACTGAGCACCAAAGCCAACAAAAGTATATTTGACACCGCCTTTTTGGACATTTGAACATAAAATCAGTTGTTAGTAATGTTAGAATTGCAGCGTATAAATTAGGAAACAATGCAAGCTGCAGAAAATCTGAATCAGTCTGATTTCAAAAGTAGGGATGCAGAAACTGGTCAAAGGTGTCAAAGGTGTGAGAGGGTCAACAGGAATAGTCTTCATTTAAGCATCATTTGCTACTTAATTCAACCGAAAATTTAGCAGATAAAATTTGTTTTGAAGAGTAAAATTTTTTAACAGGTTTGTACATGTGGGTTAGGAATTTATATCCCTCAGAAGTATTTTTTTTAATTAGTTCTGTGTACTGTCGCTTACTCACACCTCAAGAGAGTCAGTTAATACTCACTGTTCTTTAAGGCTGAATTTAAGAAAAAGAGCAACAAGCATTCCAAACCAGGGGAGGTAGCTGTACACTGAAGTAATTCTGAGCCCCGTGTGATAAGCTTATATTCATCAATAACTGGCCTTCTCAAGCACATAGTGATAGACTTACCACCTCTCTAGCCTCAAGCAGCTTACATTTAGCTTGATATGACTAGCTCACTCGAAGTATTAGAATGGTTATAGTCTGGAACTAAGTTTAAAATTATCTTGGTTAAGGGATCACTCAACTTTCATTTTAAAATCTCAGATTAAAAAAAAAATTTTTTTTAATTAATAAGTACAGTCAGTTGAAAACATCCAGACCAGGCTCCTGCTCCCTATGAAGATGCCTCTCATCCCTAACCCACTGCCACTTTTTTTTAAATTAAAATTTTCTATGACATTTTTTTTAAAGAGCAGTTTTGGCTTCCCAGCAAAACTGAAAGGAAGATGCAGAGATTTCTCCCTGCCCCCCACATGCACAGCCTCCCCCATTACCAACATCCCCCACCAGAGTGGGACACTTGTTACAGCTGATGAGCCTACACTGAGACACCATCACCCAAAGTCCATAGTCTACACTATGGTTCACTCTTGGTGCACATTCTATTACCACCATTATAAATGTATAAAGGTGCAATGGCATACAATTATAAACGTATAACGGCATCTATCCATCGTGTATTTTCACTACTAAAAGTCTGTGCTCCACCTATTCGTTCTTCCTCATGCCATTCCCCACCCTCTACCCACTGGCAACCACTGATCTTTTTATTGTCTCGGGACTTTTGCATTTTCCAGAATGTCACATAGTTGGGATCATTACAGTATGTAGCCTTTTCAGATTGGCTTCTTTCACTTAGTAATACGTATTTAAGTTTCCTTCATGTCTTCCCATGGCTTGGTAGCTCGTTTTAGTGCTGAATAATATTCCGCTGTCTGGGTGGATCAAAGTTATTTAACCACTCACCTACCAAAGGACATCCTGGTTGCTTCCAAGTTTCAGAAATTATGAATAAAGCTGCTATAAACATCCATGTGCAGGTTTTACTGTAGACATAAGTTTTCAGCTCCAAGGAGTGAAACTGCTGGATCATAGGGTAAGAGTATGTTTAGTTTGTAAGAAACTACCAAACTGTATTCCAAAGTGGCTGTAGCATTTTGCATTCCCACCAGCAATGAATGAGCTCTCTTGCTCCACAACCTTGCCAGCATTTGGTGGTGTCAATGTTCCAAATTTTGGTCATTCTAACAGGTGGGCTTTAATTTGCATTTCCCTGATGACAAATGATGTGGACTATCTTTTCATATGCTTATTTGACATCTGTATATTCTTCTTTGGTGAAGTATCTGTTAAGGTCTTTAGCCCATTTTTTAATCAGGTTGTTGTATATTTTGGAGAATAGTCCTTTATTAGATGTATTTTGCAAATATTTTCTCCCAGTCTGTGGCTTGTCTTCTTAATCCCATGACACTGTCTTTTGCAGAGCAAAAGTTTTTAATTTTAATGAAGTCTAGCTTACCAATCTATCATCATTTAGGAAAGAGAATTACAGATACTGAAAGTCTGGCTAAATAAATAGATCATTGAGGGTATTGTATAACCGGGGTATTACAAACGTAAATAACTATGGGAACAAAAATAGAAACCTCACAGAAACCTACACACAGAAAACAAAGCAAGGAGTTTATATAGTAAAATACTTTAAAAGGTATAAATACAGAAACTATAACAATATGACACAACTAAGACCATATATATCCAATTAATAAATGTAAATGAGCTAAATTCAACTATTTAGAGAAAAAGAATTTCAGACTGAATCACAAAGCAAAACTCAAATCTGTGCTACATAAAAGACCTACAACAAAAATGAAATGATTCAGAAGGGTTGAAGATAGAAGGATGAGTAAAGAGATACTAGAAACAAACAAGTAGCAACATCTTAGTAATAGATATGGCTGGATTCAGTCCCAAATTAAACCAGACCAGGAAAGGGGGGGGGGGTACTCTGTAATGCTAAAGGTTACAATTCACAATAAAAATGAACAGTTATGAATATCTGTGGATCAAATAACCTTGCAACAATATTACATAAAATCTACAAAGGATATAAGGAAAAATAAAAGAAAAACATAGGTAGTAGGAAACTATAATTCATCTCAGTCCATGAGAGGTCAGTAATTTAAAAAATAAGATATAGAAAATCTTAACATATTGTGGTATACTTAATTGACATATATTGAGAAATTCTGAGAAGGGAAATGGTATAGACCTGGCATAACTAAGACGGATAGGATAACAAAGGACACTGACAGAGCCTGTCACCTATGCCAACAGCAAAACTCTCAGTCTTCCAAAGAGGCTTAGACAACTGACACTGCTTTTTTTTTGACTCATCAAGGTGTCTAAAATCAGAATTTAGGTCCCAGCCAGCAGAGACCTTAACAGCAGAGACCTAAACTACACAAATTCCCATTCTTGCTTTTGCTAGATGAAATTAATCCATTACTGGTTTCCCTTGTGTACAAGTAAATAGTGTACTAATAATTAACTATACCTAAGTTTTCTTTGATAATATTAAGCTCTAATGTGAAGTTTCACAAAACTTGACTATGTATTAACCCATATAGAAAACAATCAATTTCAAAAAGTAAAGTTAATGTAGAAAACATACTCTCATGAAAGTGCAATGAACAAAAAATATATAATAGGACCTCCCAAAAAATCTCAAACAATTCTTGGATTAAATAAGAAATCCAAACCAAAATTTCAAGAGTATGTACAAAATCACTATTGTGAAAATTCTACACACCAGGAACTGCAGAATAAACCTAAAACAGTGCTCAGAAGAAAATTAACATCCAACTGAAAAAGTATGACAAATAACAAGTAAACCAAACAAAAAGAGAAGGAAAGAAATGCAGAAGTTAATGGATTATTTAAGAGAAAAACAAAGAAACTAATACATACATGCATGCAATGCAGCCAGACAAAAGAAAATACAGTTTAAAAATTGGAAAGGAGGAGGTAAAATTAGCAATATTTGCAGACATGATTGAACACCTGGAAACTCCAAGATAATCAACTGAAAAACTAATACAGAGAATAAGTGAATTCAATACATTGTCTGGGTACATAATTAAAATAGCTTTTATGTATACAAACAACCACCAGTGAGATTTACTGAAAGATATACTCAATTACAATGGCCACCAAAAGAAGGTAAAACGCCTAGCAATAAATATAAGAAATGTGCAAGATCTACATGAAGAAAACTTTAAAATACTTGTGAGTGACACATAAGAATACTTGAACAAGACATACCATACACTGGGGTAAGGAGAATCGACATGATAAAGATGTCAATTCTCCTTAAGTTAATCTATAAATTTAACAATCTCACAGGCTTATTTTTTTAAATGAACTGAACAAGTAAGAATAACCAGGAAATTTCTGAGAAAGGGATAATGAAAGGAGATAAGCCCTCTAACATATTAAAATACATTATGAACATGCAATAAATAAACCACTATGGTACCGACAAATGAGTTGACAGATAATTCAATGAAACAGAATAGAAATTCCAAAAATAAACCTAAATATATATGGGATTGAATATGTGATAAAGGTAGCACCTCAAGTCAGTGGAGGAAAACATGGATTATTCAATAAATTGAGTTGGGTCAATGGGTAGTCACCTGGGGAAAATAAAACTGATCCCCATCTCAAAACATATAAGAAATCTAGAAGCTATAAAATTTATATAAATTAAAACTTTTTTCTGCATGGCAAAAATCACCATAATCAAAGTTAAAAGACAAATAATCACATGGGTCAAGTATTTGCAACTGATCTCTAGGCAAGGGCTAATTTTCTTAACATACAAAGAGGGAAAGATATAAACAGGCAGTTCCCAGAAAAAGAAATACAAATGTCTCTAAAGGAAAGATGTTTAACCTCATTTTGAAGTTTGATGACAGTGTTGGTAAGGGGGTAGGCTTTATCTTACATGACTTATGGTAGTGTCTGATTAAATAAAATTCTATGAAGGGCAAATTGGCAATGTGTATCAAAATGCAAAAATATTTTAACTCAGAAATTCCACTTCTAGGAATTTATCCTACAGGTAGAGTTACATACATGTGAAATGAGCTAGGCACAAATTATTTTACTATTTTTGATAAGAGCAAAAGATTCATAATCAACTTAAATATTCATCAATAAAGGACTTTGTTTTACTATCATAAATGCATTTAAAAGAACAAAGTTGAAAGAAATTAAAGATGATACCAACAGATGGAGAGATATACCATGTTCTTGGATTGGAAGAATCAATACTGTGAAAATGACTATACTACCCAAAGCAATCTACAGATTCAATGCAATCCCTATCAAATTACCAATGGCAT